TAAGTACCGAAAGATCCACTTGAGTGCTTCCCAATGTTGCTTACCAGGTTTAGACATGTACTTACAAACTTGACTAACAACATGAGCTAAATCAGGACGAGTACATACCATTGCATACATCAAGCAGCCAACAGCATTAGAATACGGAACCTTTGTCATATCTTCAGCTTCCTTATCTGTCTTAGGGCACTGTTCTGATGAGAGCTTAAAGTGGTTCGCCAATGGAGTGCTAACTGGTTTTGCGCTGCTCATCGCAAACCTTTCTAGCATTTTTTAACATAACCCCGTTGAGATAGCCACAGTTTCCTTGAGTCTCTGTCCCTACAAATTTCCATTCCAAGAATTTTCTTTGCAGCACCTAAATCTTTCATATCAAATTCCTGACTCAATAAAGTTTTCAAACCGATAACATCATCCATGTTCTTCGCGGCAATCAACATATCATCAACATACAGTAATAGAAAAATAAAAAACCATCATCAAGGCTCTTAACATAGACACAACAATCATACTCATATCGGTTGTAGCCAATCTTGATCATATAGGAGTCAAACCGTTTATACCACTGTCTCGGAGACTGTTTCAACCCGTACAAAGATTTCTTTAATCTGCAAACTAAATGCTCGTTTCCAGGTTGAGTGAAACCTCCAGGTTGCCGCATGTAGATCTGCTCCTCTAAATCACCATGCAAAAAAGCAGTTTTAACATCCATCTGCTCTAAATACAAATCCCAACTGGCCACTAATGCAAGTACTGCTCGGATTGAAGTGTGTCTGACCACAGGAGAAAAGATTTCATCATAATCAACTCCTTTCTGCTGTGAAAAACCCTTTGCTACCAAACGAGCCTTGAACTTCTCCCCCTCTTTTTCTGTTACGGCTGGTTTCTTCTTATACACCCATTTGCAACCAATCGGCTTTTTACCCTCAGGAAGGGGAACCAACTCCCATGTACGATTGTGATTCAAAGACTCCATCTCCTCAACCATGGCTGCCATCCACTTGTCATTTTCCTGACTAGTAACAGCATCATGAAAAGTAACCGGATCATCACTGCTAACAATAAGTGCAAAAGAGACCAAGTCTTCAAAACCCAATCTACTCGGAGGCTTTATATTCGTCCGTCTCACCCTTTCTCTGGCGAGACTATAATCCTGAAAATCATCCGTAGTGGAACCACCAGAAGTCGGTTGAGACGTTTCTGGTTTTTCAACTGGAAACTGCTCGAAATCCACCACTGTCGTGTCTTTCTTCTGTTGCAACATAGATTGTTCATCAAAAACAACATCTCTACTGATCACAATTTTCTTCGCAACTGGATCCCAGAACTTGAATCCTTTGACACCTTTCTTGTAACCCAGAAAAATGCACTCCTTCGATTTTGCATCAAGTTTGGATCTCTCATCAGCAGGTACATGCACATAAGCAGGACAACCAAAAATTCGTATGTTATCAAAACTAACATCATGACCAGTCCATACCTCTTCTGCAACTTTCCCATCCAATGATGCCCTTGGCGATCTGTTGATAAGATAACACGCCATGTTAACAGCCTCGGCCCAGAAGTGTTTGGGAAGCCCCGCATTCAACCGTAAACATCTGTCTCTTTCATTCAACGACCTGTTCATCCGTTCCGCAACACCATTCTGTTGCGGTGTCTTGCGCACTGTAAAATGTCTCTTAATCCCGTGCTCCTTATAGAAGTGTAAGAACTGTGAATCTGTGTACTCCGTACCATTGTCTGACCGCAAACACTTGATTTTTCATCCTGTTTGGTTTTCTACCTCTCTTTTCCACAGCTTGAACTTCTCAAAAACTTCAGATTTCTGTTTCAAAAAATATACCCAAACTTTCCGTGAAAAAATCATCAATAAAAGTAACATAATACCTAGATCCACCCAAAGACGATGTCGTGGAAGGCTCCCATACATCAGAATGCACATAATCAAGAATCCCTTGAGTTGTGTGCTTCGCAGTCTTGAAACAGACTTTAGTCTGTTTACCAAGAACACAATACTTGCAAAAATTGAGCTTACAGCTTTTGACACCATGCAACAGATTTCTTTTGTGTAATTCTGTCATACCACGTTCACTAAGATGAGCAAGACGGATATGCCACAGTTTTGTAGTATCATCACAGGATTCAACAGAATGAACTCCACCTGCAACGGTACTCCCTAACAATCTATAAATATTTCCTGCAGTCATCTTTCCTTTCATCACAATCAAAGCACCTTTAACAATCCGAATGGTTTCCCTATCCTCATCAGCCTTAGGAATAAAACCATTCTTGTGCAAAGTGCCCAAAGAAATCAAATTCTTCTTCAAATCTGGGATATGTCGAACACCACTCAACGTTCAAACAGAGCCATCATACATCTTAATTCTGACATCACCAATACCAACAATATTGCAACATCGATCATCACCCAAATAAACAGAACCAGAATTAACCGACCTGTATGTCGAAAATCATTCCCTATTTGGCGTGATGTGATAAGAACATCCAGAATCAAGAATCCACGCATCCGTCAATTGAGTCGTTGAAATAGAAAGCATATCACCCTCACTACAATCAGAATTGTCATCCTCGACCACGTTCACAGACTTGGATGAAACATCACGCTTCTCATCAGTCTGCTTTTTCAACTTCGGACAGTCTCCTTCATATCCCGCCTCCTTGCACCTTTAACAGTGAATTGTCTTCTTATCCCTAGATTTGGATCTGGAATTCCTCTTGCCAGACCCTGCCTTCTCTGGCTTCCTTCCACGGTTTCGATTACCCTTGACATATAAGCTATCGGCTTAAGAGTTTTCCCCTGCATTCTGCTTCCGCTGGTTGTGAGCCAACAAGGCTACAGTAATATCCTCAACGTTGATAGTCTCTTTCCCATATGTAAGAGTAGTCACCATGTGTTCGTAAGAGGAGGCAACGAACACAACAAAATCATCGCTCTGTCTTCATCCTCAATTTTTACATCAACCCGAGCCAAATCAAAAACGATTTGATTGAAGACATTCACGTGTTGCGCCAAATCATGATCGTCCTGCATCTTAGCCCATACAGCCGATGCTTTAGATACAGTTTTGTCGTTAAGGATTTGGACATAAACTGACTTTCCAACTTCCTCCAAATTTTGTCTGGAGATGATAGATGCATGACGTGATACATAACCTCGTCCGCCAAATCATAATCGTATGGTTCCTGCCGCTCGTTGTTGCAATTCTTCCCAATCTTCCTCCTCCATCGACACCAGCTTTGTAGGTCGCAAAGCCTTCAGGTTCCCCTGCTGCTCCAACAGATCCTTCACCCTCGTTTGCCATAATCGAAGTTACCCAGACCATCGAATTTCGTAACTTCGAATTTTGCTCCTGACATCTGATACCAATTGTTGATAAATCGGGCAAAGTAAAGGAAAGAACACAAGAATTTTAACGAGGTTCGGCAATGTGCTTACGTCCTCGGTGCCTAGGCGGCGCTAGAAAATTTGTATTCAATGATAATAGGTTTAGGTTACATCTCTATTTATAATAGAAAACCCTGGTACATAATCACCGCTCCATCCCCTGTCCTCTTTACCGGTATATTTATGAGCCATACCTTACATATGTGTTGATTAATTTTGATTTTGTTGTGATAATCAGGAAGTAAACAATACAAAAATTAAAAAAAAATAGAAATAGTAAGATTTACTTAAAAAAATTCTAAGTAGAAGATAGAAATTTAGTATAATGTCAAAATTGCAAGAAGTTGTAATTTTAAGATCTCATACAGATTCATATATTTTAACTTACAATTACTCTAATTCTTGTTATCTATTTATAAGTCTAATAAAATTCCTACTTTAACAAGATAAATATACTCTTGTACATTTGCATAAAAATAAATTGAGATACGCGGTTTTAAATTCAATCGAACTTGTAATTTTAAGATATAAATTGAACTAAAATTTAATTAAAAATAAAGTTTAGTATTTGAAATATATATTAAAAACGATATATTTTCCAACATCGTCCCCGATGGTATAGTTGATCATATGATAAGTACCAAGTCACCCTCACTAGCTGACGATAAACTTGAAGGAAGTGTTGTCAAAATTTTCAAACACCAAAGCTGTCCAATTATCAACCACTTGCTGTCGTACCAAATGTTTTTGGAATTTGTTTCAAACTAAGAAAATTTTATTTATTTTTCAATAATAACAACTGATAATTCAAAATTATAATGTATGTAAAGAAAAAATTATAAAAAACTGTCACAAAAAGTACATACATAAAATAAAAATATTAAACCTAAAGATGCAAAAAAAATGAAATATTCCATTGAGAATGACATCCAAAATAAAAAAACACTCAGTAACCTTCATGAAACTCTCTGTCTCTGTCGAACGAGACACTTTACGAAATGATAAAGGAGTGGTGAGGGAACCAAACAATTTGACATATTGTTTCGTCGCACAATTCTGATTATATCGACAAACAACCTGTTGAACACCCCACATGCCAATAAATGCTCAAAACAATAAGAGGAAGAAATAATTAATCAAATGGAAAAACACTTGATTTATTTGGTGTGTGTTAGAAAGCTAGCATGAAGCTTTCTCATATAGGCAAGTAAATACTTAACCTTCACAACAATTAAAGCTTTAAACTTACAAACATTAATAAAATTATAACATAAATAAATAAATGCAAATATGTTGGCGTTGATATTTCAACACTCCCCCTTAACATAACTTTCATGTCGAGCTAAAGACAGAAGCTTTCGAGTTTGTTTCCACCCAAACCTTTCATGAACAAGTCTACCACTTGGTTTTCTGTCTTCATATGTTCAAGTTTAATTTCTTCTTGAAAGACATTTTCTCTAACAAAGTGGTAGTGAACTTCCACATGTTTGGTTCTTGCATGAAAAATTGGATTTTCACCTAAACGTATGGCTAATAAGCTGTCACAATACAAAATGACTGGAAACTCCACTTACTGATGCAAGTCTTGCAACAATTACAAAATCCAAGTACTCTCTTGAGCTACCATTGTCGCTGCACGATACTTTGTTTCATTAGTTGACAGAGACATTATAGGTTGTCGTTTGCTACACCGGGAAATTGCTCCAGATCCAAGTAAAAACACATACCCTGTAGTTGAGCGTCTGGTATCAAGGTCACATGCATAGTCAGCATCATAATAGCCAACTAGCTTGTAATCTTCACCTTTTTTGTACTGAATACCTTGGCCAATCGTACTTTTCACGTATCTCAAAATTCGTAAAACTGCTTCAAGTGAGATTTCTTTGGATTTTGCATGTAGCAACTCACAATGCCAACTGCAAAAGAAATATCTAGTCTTGTTACAGTCAAACAGATAAGACTACTAACTAACTGTGGTACATTGTAGCATCCTCTAAATCTTTCCCTTCATTAGAACAAATATTGGCGTTTGGTTCCATCGCATAGAAATTGGCTTGCAATGAGCATTCCAAACTTTTTCAACAGATCATTGGAATACTTTCTTTGATGGAGAAAAATTCCTTCCTCGATGTGTTCAATCTCCAAACCAAGGAAATGTCTAAGTTGACCAAGTTATTTTATTTGAAATCGAACTGATAAATTCTCCCTAATTTGAAGATTTTCTTCCTTATAATCTCTATTGATGATTAAATCATCCATATATACTAGCACAATAGCTAGTTTTCCTTCAGATGTTTCCACAAGCATACTTAGATATGAATGAGCCATAATAGCCATTATAAGTTAGAAATTATCTATCTTCCCATACGAAGCTCTGAGTGCTTGCTTTAATCCATAAAGCGCATTTCGAACTTTACAAACATAATTAAGATGACCTTGACTTCGAAAACCCATTGATTGGTCTATGTAAATCTCACGATCGAGCTCCCCATGTAAGAATTTATTCTTCACATCCATTTGCCGGAGATTTCAATTTTTACTAGTTGTTAGTGCTAGTAAGACTCAAAATATTGTAAGCTTTGCCACTGGACTAAACATTTCATCATAGTATAGTCCATATTGTTGAGAGAATCCTTGAGCTATCAATCAAGCTTTATGTTTTTCAATCGATCCATCTATGTGCTTTATCTTGTAGACCTATTTACAAGAAATAGGCTTCACATCTCTTGACTAGGGTACGAGCTTCCAAGTCTGATTTCAATCAAGTGCAACAATTTCATCTTTTATTTCTTCAATCCATTCTACCTTCTAAGAAGCTTCTTCAAAAGTGTATGGTTCTTTCATATCACATTTGTCTACTATGACAGTATTAGCATATTTTGGATTTGTATTTTTAATCCTTTTTGATATTGTAAATGGCGTTGGTTATTCTATTTCACTAGGATCACCATCTTTGATTGATTACCGGTGAACACCAATTTGCCATGGATTTTGAGTTAAACCTTATGCTCCATTATCATCAACAATTTCAGTTTTATCTCGACTCAATTAAACTTCAGAAGATTGTAAATCTCTTCTAATAGTATCTGAGTCTAGAAATGACTCTTTTTCTGAGGAACACCATGAAGATGTTTATAAAACACCACATTGCGAGACACATAGCATTTTCCAGTTATAGGATCACAACAACTCCACCCTTTTCTCTGGTTGTCGTACCCTAAAAATACACCTAACAACTTTTTTGTCCATTTTGCTACGTAAATGATCAAGTAAAAATACATAGCAAACACTTCTAAAAACTCAAAAATAACTAACTGTTGGTTTTATTCTTGTCCTCTATTTGTGAGTACTATAAATGAGTGCGGATATATGTGCAAGTATACACAATCGAACAAGTAATACAGTGATAAGCGAGTATCGTCTCCACAGGGATTGGGGGAAATCAAATAAGTTTGTCAAGGCACTTTACTCTATCACCTAAGTAAAGTTTGTGATTGTATATACAAATGATAATGCTGTGGCAAAATGGAATGACTGATGTGGAAATAGAACGATGGCAATGTGGTAGAAAATGGATATGTCGTGGCAAAATGGATTGTGTTTAGTGCAAACAAATGGAAATGTCAAGGTAAAATGAAATGTAAATATATAACTTGATTAATAGGACTTTGTCTTTCTCACACAACAAGCTACTATGAGAATGAGTGATAGGAGTCACTAAGGAAAATCTAAACCTACTTCTCAGAATGATCTTACTTTATGCCTTGTCTGCCCGACAGAGTCTACTAAGGTGCCCTATGCTATCTCTAGTAAGGAACTCAATGGATTGAAGATGTCCTGGCAAAACCGGTTGGCGTAAACCCTGCAGTGATCCTATTGGTCCAGATAACTGGATATGTCTCGGTAATATCTTTTTGCGGCAGCATTAACATCTAACATATCGTTCATGCACAACTCCTTTTAGTCGAATGAAATCCTAGCCTTATCTCTAAGGTAGATTAAGCCTAGTTATTATCTAGAACCCCTTGTTTATGTGGTTCTCCCTAGTTTCTCTCGAACACTAAGGATGTGGTCCTTAGGTATTCTCTTGAACCCTAAGAATCTCCTAAGGAATGTTTACTCTCGTAGCTCCTACGACCTTAAGGTACTAAGCTTCATAAACAAAACAGATTATAGCATATAAAATCAACCATTCATTGAAATAAAACTTAAATATCCAAAATGAACTCACACCAAATAGGATTAGTTCATGGTGGGGATCGAAATAAGAAAGCAGAAAATAAGTTTATCCGTTCCTTACAACCCAAATAATAAAATATAAAAGCAAAGAATAAAGGGAATGAGGAAAAGCCTTCGACGTGCACTGCTAGAGCTTCTCTCGGCCACCACAAACTACCCCTAGCGAACTAGCTCCTCTCGGATGCTTAGAACGTCACTCCCTCAGGCTTGTCACGGAGAAATGCCACGGCAAGTAGGATTGACGAAGAAAGGTAAAACCTTTTTCTCTCTCTATTTAAGCTCAAAATGGCGTGGAACCAAAGTCCCTAATATTATGGCTTCATCTTCTATTTATAGGGGGAGAAAAACCCTAAAGGTTTATGTCAAAATTCTAAAGATACCCCAAATCATGCTTAATTCACGTGAGGATCGGGCAGAGCTGGCAGTGGTGCTGCTGGGCAGCTGGCAATGGTCCAGCCTGGCTGGCTGGCTAAGCACCCGATAGGATCCTGCTGCAGTAGGGCAATATGGTCAATAAGGTTGGTTGTATCAGCGCTGATCCAGACGGATTTTTTAGGCATGGTCATAGATTACGTGAAAATAGGGATAGCTGGCTCCAATAATATCTTCTTTCATTTTGTTCGCTCTCGAAATGCCAATCTAACTCGGCATTTTCATTCTTCTCAGCAGTCTCCTTATGTCACGGCATTTCTCTTTCTCTTTTCCTTGCTCTCAATTCCTGCACATCATTAGACAAACACCTTCCCCATAAGACATCACTGATAACGAATTAAAATGTCGTGACAACTCAAATTCCATCACATGCAACTAAATACTTCTAAATGCATATACATGGTCCTAAATGAGCTCTTAAACATTCAATAACTTAAGTGAAAAGGTCCCAAAATGTGACCTTTTTACGGAGTTATCACACCCCCAAACTTAAGCTATTGTTTGTCCTCAACCAATTGATAATATTAAGCAAAACAAACATATCATGGCAAGTTCAGAATCAGAATAGTTATATGGGATAAAATTTCAGCCCTCAGCCCAATTGGCTTCAACATACTAGACTAGTTCGAGAAATCAAGTACTATCCCCTAGGGTAAGATTCTTTGTGTGGGTGTGTGCGTGTTTGTATCCAGTCCATGCTTAACAAACTTAAAAAATTTCTAAGCAAGTTTTCTTAATTTGCCATGGCATTTACAAATTTTACTCCCACCTTGTTTTCTTTTCTTTTCTTTTCTTTTCTTAATTTGCCATGGCATAGCGGAGTGTCCCTCTACAGATATACCGAAGCATTTATTAACAACTTTTTTTATTTTCCTTCTTTTTCAGTGTGGGGTTTTCATCATTCAAAGTTTTATGCCACGACATTTAAGAATTCTCTTATAAAAAATTTCTAAGTTTCTCACGTATGGAAAACATAAAATCGTGTATTCAAGGATTTCAAAGAAGCAAGTCCTAAAGTTGGTTCTATCATCCTCAAATAGTCATGTACATTCTATCCTAGCCATCAAGAATTCTTCATCATCGGGCATCATTAATTTATTCCAGAAAACTAATTCTAACACTTACTATTGTCATGGCATATTCATTATACTAATACTATCATACAATGATTTGAGAACCCTACCTCCCCCAAACTTGATAGAATCATTGTCCTCAATGCTTACTAAAAACTAAGGAAAATTAAACTACATTCTATGAAATACAATGCAATGCAAGGTACCTTGACTTTATGCTTGTGGTAGTGTGGCAATCGTGTGATGTGTGCGCTTTCAAAATTGTGTAGGGCTGGAGTGTTCAGAATCTAATACTGGTACGGTTGAAGGTTGTATGAAACCTAACCTTGCAAAGAAAAATAAAATAATCAATTAAAAGGAAGAGAAATAAGCATTTATTTATGCACAAGAGTAATTTTAAAATGTCACGACATCCTTAAGATGCTGGGCCATTTTCGATATCGTGCAAGAGGAGTGCAGATTTGTCACGCATGGGTGAGACTCCTTGATAAGCCTTCAGACGATGGCCATTGACTTTAAAGATGGACCCGTCGTCCAGGTTCTTGATATCCACAGCGCCATGAGGGTAAACATGGTGGACTTCAAATGGTCTCGACCAGCGTGACTTCAGTTTTCCAGGGAAGAGTTTGAGCCTAGATTTAAACAATAGCACTTTCTGGCCTACATGAAAATGTCGTGGCAAAATTATTTTGTCATGCCACTTTTTGGTTTTTTCCTTGTAGAGCTTGGCATTTTCATATGCTTGCGCTCGAAACTCTTCCTTATCGTTCAGATCGAGCAGTCATTTTTCCCCAGATGGTTGCACTTCAAAGTTCAACTTCTTGATTGCCCAATATGCCTTGTTTTCTATCTCAACTGGTAGGTGGCAGGCTTTTTCATATACCATCTTAAAGGGCGACATTCCCAAAGGCATCTTGAATGTCGTTCGGTATGCCCAGAGTGCTTCATCGAATCTTGGGGACCAGTCTTTCTTTCAAGGGTTCACCACCTTCTCTAAAATTTACTTGATTTTGCGGTTGGACACTTCAGCTTGTCCATTAGTTTGTGAGTGATATGCCGTGAAAATTTTATGTCACACTCCATACTTTTGTAATACCTTGGCAATTAGCTTGTTGTCAAAGTGGGTGCCCTCGTCACTGATGATGACTCTCGGTACTCCAAATCGAGTGAAAATATTCTTATGAAGAAACTTGAGCGCCGTCTTCGAGTCATTCCTCGGTGTGGCAATCACTTCAACCCACTTAGAGAAAGTCTCTAAAAGAATATGAGAATGGTCCCATAAAATCAATGCCCCA